GATAAGCCTATGAACAATAGATTTGTTTTTGTTTTTATGGAGATAATGGAGAAATGGAGATAACAATAGTACCTACTTCCTAGAGTTGTTGTGAGGATTAAATGACATAATATTTGTAAAGCACTCAGCACGGTGTCTGATACATAATAGGTGCTTAATAAATACTTGTTTCTTTCCTTCTTTCTCTAAAAACATGCCCTTGAAAAGGTATTTGTAGAGCTAAATTGTGTAAATTGAATTATATATTTATAATGCATCATTTGAGGTGATTGGTCTATAGTTGGGATTAATGAAGACAAGCACTGATGATTTCTAAGGTTCCTGTTATTTTTTGGCCTAGACAAATCAAAATTTTTGTTATTTTGATCATTCAGTTTGGTTACTTGGTAGAAAATACACTAAATGGGGACTTGAGCAAAATTTTCATTACTCACATTACTCAGAATTACCCTTTCTGGACTCAGACTAGATCGAAAGGGTCCCTAATACACAGACAGTATGTAACAGTGCCCAGTCTTCTTATTGCTAAGTCCTTCGTTTAAGGCTTGCCTCTGGTACATACTGGCTATGGGATCATGGACAAGTCATTTAACATTGCAGTACTCATTTCAGATGAATTGCCAGTCTCCATAGATGGATAGTAGTTTCACACTGGGAATCTGTTTCAGTGATAGAATCAGAGTTCTGATTGTAAGGAGGAAGGAAGAAGGAAGGTAGATATGAAGGAAAGAAGGAAGGAAGGAAGGAAGGAAGAAAGGAAAAAAGGGAAAGAAGAGGAGAGGAGAGCAGAGGAGAGGAGAAGAAAAGAGAGGAAAGGAGAAGAAAAGAGAGGAAAGGACAGGGAAGGAGAGGAAAGGAAAGGAAAGAAGAGGAGAGGAGAGGTGAGGAGAGGAGAGGAGAGGAGAGGAGAGGAGAGGAGAGGAGAGGAGAGGAGAGGAGAGGAGAGGAAAGGAAAGGAAAGGAAAGGAAGTAAAAGAATTAAATTGATGCTAAAGAGCAAACAGAGAGAAGGACTTTTCTTCTAGGTTTTTATCTTTACAGTGAAACCTAGGGATATACTAAACTAACAGAATTAAAAGGCAGTAGGTTCAAGTTCCCCAAAATCTAGACAGAAATTCCTCACCAGGAGATATGGAAATCCTCAACTAAAGAAGAAAGGTGGCAATGATGAGAGACCATTTATGTACTAGTCAGATTTCATGGTTGAACTACATAGAGTTACAGTATAATGGAATTTGAAGGGAACCTGAAGATTATTTGGCACAACCCTTTCATTTTACAAATAAGGGAACCAAGGCTTATGCATATAAAATGACTTGACCAAGATCATTCAGATAGTAAATGTTGAACTAGGTCTTCTTCCCCTGAAACCAATACACTCTCCCCTACAATCACAGCAATTGGATTGATTTCAGTACATGCTGTAACATGAGAGTAGCAAAAGCATCACTGGAGAATTCATTTTGAGATAGGTTGTTCTTACCCTCAGAAAAGTCCCTTAACAATCTAGGCCATCAAGGGTCTCTCAGCAACACAACTGAAACATCCCTTCAGGGAAACTGATCCCTTTAAATGTCTGTTTCCTCTCTGCCCACAAAGTCATCTGAATTGGGTCACATAGACAGCTTTAGATTTCAGAGGTTTCATTTTCATGAGAATATCTCCTCCAAGAACAGCTTACCACATCCACTCTGAGATCCCTGTTCTCACTGGTTTACTTCTCACTCCCAAACCTCATTGCTTTGTTCTTTAAAAAAATAAAAATAAAAAAAGAATATTTCTATTCTAAATTCAGTATAATCAACAGTCACACTTTTCAAGACACATAAATAACTCTGAACTTCTAGCACATAGAGTTTTTAAAAAAAAAATAAGCATGTTTGAGTTTAATCAGGTAGTAACAAATTTTGTATCTCTCCTCCCTTCCCTGTGTACAATTTGCACAATGTTTAGAATGCATTTTTCAATGTTCTTTTTTCATATCTATCACTACCAGCTAACTTTCATTTCATCTTAAGTAGAAGTCCTCCCTTATAACAAATATTTATAGTCGTTAAACAAAACAAAACAAAACAGCAGCTCTAACAAAACAATCTGATTCTATAGCTCTGGTCCATTGCTTCTCTGCCAAGTGTTCTATGATCTTTGTACCCTCATCACTACAATGATGTACTTTCACTTACTCTTAGGGCATGAATAAAATTGTTAACTGCTTCCCCCAGACAGGAAAAAAAAAAAAACTGAAACACCAGTGAATCTGACTCTGGAATTGAAGCAGGGATTTGTTACTTTGAAACAGTAAATTGTAGCATACCAGGTGTGCAAGGTACTTTCCAAAACTCTATCTACAGAGCTTACCTCAAATAGTGCACAAGCCTAGACACATGCCTTTGCAATATACTTTTTATGTAGGGACTGCAATGGATCAATGGATCTGGCCAATAAGCAAGAGGATTTTCTACCCTGAATACAATTTCTATATCCTAACCTTAGAAAGGGAGGTGTACAAGAGAAGCCTGGCACACTTTCCCTGCAACCATTCAGAAGGATATTAATTTAACAAAAGTACTCAATTGGGAAGCACATTCTTTTTTTTTTTTTTTTTTTTTTGCAAAGAGGGTTATATATTTATAGTTTTTTTCCCCAGATTTTCTGAATTAATGAAGAAATGAAGAAGGGCTTCCTGGACGTCATGAAATACAACATTCATCTAGGTTTCTTTTTGCCTAGGACTGAAAAGTACCTCTTTTGCTGAAATACTGGTTTGCTGCCAGTTCTAGTTCCAGTGATAAGACAGTCTAGCTTTTTTAGATCCCTCGCCCAAACTGAAGTCCAGGTTGCAAAACTGGATATAATTCCATTGCAGGGGGGGGGAAAATGGGAAGTAGATGAACCCATTAGTTTCTTTCTCAAGATCATTCAATTATTAGTATTTCAAAGGAATTTCTAATATAGGAACAACTCTTTTAGGTAATTTAAGCTTCTTTACTTTCACTTCCCATGGGAAAAATAATCTTCAGAGGGTTAGTATCCTCCTGATGCCCCCATGAAAGTTTTCTGACCTACTTTCCCAGGACATACCTGGTTCTATTAGTAAACAACCTTAACAGTGCTGGAGGTAACTGGAATTAAAAAAAGAGAGAGAGAGATAACTGGGGAGGCGTGCAGATATTCTGTACTTTAAATATAGACCCAGTTATATCTTCCCAGCATAAAGTCAATAGGCATGGCAGAGTCTCAAATCATTTGACTATTGGCTAAAAGCAAATGATACTTTGAAACACCTGGCAATCTTAGCTCCTGCTTCTGAAACCCCATTCCAAGTAAACCTTCAATGCAGAGAAAATATTCAATGTGAACACCAAGACTGTAATAATGAATTTTTATACCAAAATCAAGTGGTATGTCATTATGTTGGGATTTTTAGCTGTTTTTTTGGGGAGGATGTTGCTCTATGCTGAGAATACAGAACAGAGACCCTGAGAAACCAATGGAAGACCACTACTTAAGTGGCCACCTTGTGGGTTGTTAACCTGCCCAGCATTCTAACTGGTAGCATCTTATTTTAAGTAAACTTGCTAACTAGCTATTAAGGTTTACTGTTTTTATTTGACTAAACAATTGTAAGTGCTGTCAATACCTTCTAAATTTGGTACCCTAGAAAAAAAGTTCCATATGTCCAACCCTAGTTGTGGCTGTGGGGACAATATTATTTGGAACAGTGAGTGCTTTTGTCCTAAGGCTTGCTTTTAATCTAATAAAGAGGGAAAAGTCTAATAAAAACATGATTTGATACTTTGTTGTTAGGCAAATCTTACAGTGGGCACACTAAAAAATCCATTGACAATTGTCACTTACCTTATTAGAAGTCATTTTGTTTGATTTCAAAGAGTCATTTGGTACAGGGTTACCCTGAGTTTCTTAGGGTCACTGCATGATAAACTACATAAATATCATATCTTTTACAACATGTGAAATATAGCAATATACAAGCACTATTTTTTATTTAATTTCTTTATTTTAATGTTTTTACTATTATATAACACATTTAGACATGAAGATAGACCAATAAAGACATTTAAAACTAGACAGGAGATGTTATGACTTAAAATAGGACTTACATTGCACTCAAACTAAATGGACATATTTGGGGAGTCATTTCAAAATTGAATTTACTAGCAGAGGAGATATAATGAGCCAATTTTGAACAAAATGCAATAGAAGAAAATAGCATAAATGGGCAAAGTCTACCCAAGTAAAAATACAAGAGAATTTGGGCTGAATTTAGATAAAACAAGATGAAAAAAAGTAATTTTTCAATTAGGCAGATTTTATGGGCTTATTTAGCTAGATAATTGTTGCTAGTAACCCTGGACACATAAATTTATAAAAGCAAATATTACCTAGGTATCCTAAGGCAAAAAAGAAACAAGAATTCTTAATATTGGATCAGAGGAATTAGACTTCACAATAATTTTGTAGAGAGTTTGTTTTGCAGGTTGTGACCTGCACATTCCTCTAATTCATATTATAATGGAGCTATTTTGATTATGTTCCTTAATAACCTTTAATTGCCTATAAGCAGGCACAGAGAAATCCGTAAATTTCTATCTAGTCTACCTTAATGATCCCATTTTCACTTTATGTGAATCAATTCTTATTCTAGATGAAGCATCAATGAAATCACATAACTTTAGTGACAATAAAAATCTGATACAAGAGATTATAGCCTATATAAAAATCAATGCAATACAACAGAGAACTCTGAAGGTAGTCAAAGTATACTGCAAGTTTTACAATGACATTTCTCTTTTTTCTAGATAATTGAATTTATTATAAAAGAAATCATCATGATTATCTTCCCTTCACTCTAAAACAATCCCTTTTCCTATAATTACCTCTTAATCACTCAATTTGCCATATATAAATATAGCTGTCAAGGATTTTTATCCACTTTTCATGGATAAAAAAGTTATTTAGGTTAAACTATTTGCAGTAGTCATTTAGAATTACAATTTAGACTTTTTCATAGATAAGAAAATAAAACTTCTTTAACCTAAAAACCAAAATGTGAGTCTTCAGTCATTAGAAGAAGTTTGCTCCTATCTACAACTCAGCCATTGCGTGTTATTCAATGGTGGCAGATGCAAGAGTCTTATGGAGAATAATATTTTCCTTGGCCATAAGACCAAGTTCCAAACCATGTCCATAAATAGCCATGATTACAAATTTTGGGTATGCACAGCTATGTTTTAATTCCAAGAATAAGGTAAAAAAAAAAGTTTTATCTGCCACTGCATCTACCAATCCTTAACTTTTCTATTGTAATTTTTGGATGTCAGTAAACATAAACCTTGTTGTTTCTGACTCTTCTCTCTATCACTACCATGAAGGGAGTAGTTAATGATGGCAATCATGGGTCAAAAAATAGGGGTACCCAAAACATTGGGTTTAATCCCATGGTGTTAAAGCATAGCAATCACCTCAATCTCCTATCATTACCTTAATCTCACTGTTTGTGTCACTGGAGAACTGAGGGAAAATAGAGTGCTCTGAAAAAAAGGAAAATGGCATCTTTCTCCACTTGTCTCAAGGGTCAGTAAAGACATAAATCATTTTGAACAATCTAGGGTTGATCAAGCAAGGAGAGGTCAGATGGTACTTATCAAAGTCTTTTACTATGACTAGTATCTGAGGCACTTTGATAAGCAGAAGATAAAGGAGAAAGAATCCTGGACAAAATATATAGGTTCAGATTGGTTCTAGTATCAACTACCCATAGCTACTAGCAGCAGTGTAACCCTAGGCAAGTCACTTAGCCCCTCTGATATTTAGCTTCTTTTTCTGTAAAACTGGCATAATAATTGTACCATTTTCCCCAGATTGCTATTAATAAAGTGCTTTGTAAATCATGAAGCACTATATAAAAGAGTTGTAATTATTATTACTTTACTGATCGGTGGCTCATTCATTGGATAACGGCCAGGGACAGTTAAAAAAGATGCAGTTAAGAACTGTCAGTTTTGTTTCCTAAATACAACATTTCTAATAGACTTTGAAACATTTTGATTGTGAGAGATTATTGGATTTTCTATTAATCAAGCTCCTCTTCTATCTTTGTCCCTATCCAGGTATACAGGAACAAAAACTAACTTTCTAGATCTAGACTGTAATTCTCTTTTCAGGTCATTTCAAGCCACTTGCCTTATTGTGGCTATCTTGAGAAAACTTGAGTGGAGAGAGTAATCCACTTGTAATTGCCACTGCAGGCTACATTTGGGACTCTACTGAGATTCTATTTAGTTGCAGAAGAGCTTTCTGATATGGTGTTTCATTATTCTCATCAGCTGTGGTCTTGGTCATTTCATCAGGATTTTCACTACTGCTAACAATGGCAACGGCACTAAATGACCTTCGTCTAACCTTGGTTTCAGTCATTCCTGATCCTTTGCCTGAAGATGTTTTCTCAAGGTTGTGTAGCTGCTGATCTTTCCAGTCCAATTGCTTGGCACTGCAGAAGGGAGCATATACTTCAACACTTCCCTCAAACTGTAAGCAGTTTACCTTGTAGTATTTTTTCTTTACCTCTAAAACATCATTGAATCTGTGGCCCCAGAGAATTTCTCGAGGCACATAAGAACTTCTTGACTGGTGGGAAGTCCCAGTGGAATCCCCTGTATAAGTAAATGTCACCAAAATCTCAAAGTTGTCTTTGGCTACTGCTTTACGGTCAAGAGCATACAAAGGGCTCTCATGATCAATTTCATGGACAATGGTCACTGGTGTCACAAGGATGATCTGGTCATTGACCAGCTTTAAGTCCTTAAATCCCATTGTCATCCGTCTTTCACTATCTTCCACATAACGAAGTAGCTGAGCTCTCACCGTTCCCTCCACTACGTGATTTGGTCGAAAATCGCCAATACGCCACATAAGGCAAAGTTTCCCATCTCTCATGCCTATGAGGGCGAAGTAACTGAATCTGATGGTCTGGGCTCTCTTTCGAGCTGTTGCCATTTTGGCCAAGGCAGCTCCAATGATGAAGGTGTTTATGATGCAGCTCAAAATTGACTGAAGTATAACCACAAGGACTGCCACAGAACACTCTTCAGTGACACAGCGAAAGCCATAGCCTATGGTAGTTTGGGTTTCAAGGGAGAATAAGAATGCTCCTGTGAAAGTATGGACATTGTCAACACAAGGTGTGATATTTGGATCATCTAACAAATCTCCATGGTGAAGGGCTATCACCCAAAAGATCAAGCCAAAAATCAGCCAAGAGAGAATGTAAGATAACGAGAATATCACAAACATATGGCGCCATTTGGTATCGACAAGGGTGGTGAAAATATCAACCATGTAACTCCCCCATTCTCCAAAAATATGTTTAAAGTATACATTGCAACTTCCATCTTTGTGGAGCAATCGTCTTCTTGCTCTTCGCTTCTCAGTTATGATGTTCTCTGGGTGGCAGTTAGTGTACTTGGGCACATTCCCCTCCATGTTCACGATCCGATAGTTGCTGCCGTAATAACTCATTTTGTTCTTATACTCTCAGATCATCAAACAGGGTAATAGTTTGATGTCTTTGCTTTCAGTCAAAACCTAAAAAGGGAGATGGAAATAGATTTTTATCCTTTAATTGCCCTCTTTCTAGCAGGTTATCATTCCTATTACATTTATAGCACATTATGTAAGCTATATAACTCCATTTGAAGGGCATAGACAGTTAGGATTAACTGTGCATTTAACTTCAAGAATCTGACCCAATTTTAAAAAAAGTAACAACAACAACAAAAGAGACATCCAGTAAGGGAACATAGCAACATTATTATGCATATAAATTATTTTGGGAAACATCATATTTATTCAGGATGTATTACCCTGAAGCACAACTATGCTTTCTCTGACCTGAAATGACTAAAATATTTTGCTTTCCTTTATGATACAATCCTTTTGTATTCAAAACATTTGGAAATGTTTCTAGCTAGCTACAATTAAGAAGTAATATGATTATTCCAAGATTTTGTCTAAGAGCTCTACAAACCTTCCAAAATGCTAAGCTTATATTTGACATTATGCACATTTTTTCCTTATTAGGCAGATCTCCCAAAACTCAGCTGCAAGGGAAAAAATATATCCCACAAACATGAAGTATTTTCTCCACTCCAGACTACATTGAAACTTACATACAACTGTAGATGGCCAGTTTCTATAGCAGATCAAATAGGAATTTTGTCACTTTCCAGCACCTTTTCTGCTCCCACTCTTCCTGAAACTATCTTGCTCTTTGTTGCACTTTCCCTGACAGGGAACTAAGTTACATCTCATTCACATGGATCTTGCTTTTCCAAAGATCCACCTTTAGGCGTGTTTGAGAGATTCTGTCTTGAGCCCAGGGGAGGTAAAACCACTCCCAGGTGTCTTTCAGTAAGGTGTAAAATTGCTTTTGCTTTTGTTCCATCACACTCACTCATATTTTGACACTGCCAACTTTTCACTTCCCCTCTGAAAGGGAGGAGAAAATTTTGCCAAAGGGGCTAATCATCTTGCTCTCTTAAAGGGAGCATGCCCGATTGGTTCTACTCTCAGACACTTTTTTTTTTTTGCTTCTCTACATTTCTCCAAATTTAATTAGTAAAAGTGCATCATTCTACTTCCAACTACCTCTTCCCTCTCACTGGTTCCCATCTTTTAAACGGTCATTAAAATATCACTGTAGAAAGCATAACTCATTAATAATTTTGGTCCCCCAAATAGAAAGCAAAGAGCTTCAAATTTTGCATTTGAAAGTGAAAGTTACTACTTTAAAGTAGAAATTTTCTTCAGCTACCAATATCAAGGAAGAAAACACAGTAACTCCATGACACCATTCTTAATTTTCTAGAGTTTTAATTCTCTAGTTATTGCACCTGGGAAATGGTTGGCTACTTTTGATTGTGCTTTGGACCTATCTATGTATGCATGGAGACTTAAGAGGAAGTAAATGGCTATCATTAGGTTCTGGTTGGTAAAGATCATTTTCTAGTGCACAAAATGTTGGGGGTTGCTTGGTTAAACAAGTTCTTACTGAGCACCTAGGGCTCTGAGTGCTCTGAAATGGTTAATATACCTACCAAAAGGCATCAGTTTACTCCCTTGTCTCAAGATCAGGCCCACTCTACAATAAACACTTTGTTTGATGGAACATTTGTGTGGGATGGACTCTGCTTACATGCTTACAAGCTGAATATCTTTCCCATGCCAAGAAACCAGTTAGGCACACATTAAAGGTCTGTTTGTTTGTATTTTTCCCCATATCAGTTTGGAGTAATTATATCATCTCCTTTGTTTTCATTAAAATAAAGTTTTGAAGGGTACATTTGTGCATAAAATATGTTACTAGTTTGCTGTTAAAAAAAAAACACCCAGGTTTCCAAAACGCTTATTGGAATATAGAACTTGGAAATATTCTGGCAACATTTTATCTATATCATGAGCTATTAGTTGAAGAAAATTATCTGACCTGAAATTTTATGGTGATATTATCAAAGGACTAGAAGTGTAATACTATGTTCAAGCCCAGCCCCACTCCATTTTGCCCCAATTATATAATGTGTGAAATTTTTTTAAAAAGTATTATTAAAGACCAATATTTGAACTGAGAAACATATTTAGAATTATAATTATTTTCATCTTGACTGATTCTAACAACCATTCTTTTAGGTGAACCACAAACATCATGAGTTAGAGAGAGCAAAGAAACAATTCATAAATCACGACTGATTTCTTGACTCTGTTTTTTTATGCCATCAACAGAAGAAGTTCTTCTCTAAAATGGCTTCCCTTTGGTATAGTTTAGAATTCAAGTGGTATTCAATAGCAATTCCTTCTGAGCCATTGTACTAACTCATAATGCTCAAACCAAGCTATGTTCTTTTATGGACTTACTTTTCACATGTTAGCTGTCAGTTACCATATCTAAACATTTGAATGGTTTCTTTCTAGAATTTGACATTATTGTGGAAACAAGCCAGGACCAAAGGAATTCTGTTCTCTCTTCCTTTGAATGAACCTACTACCCCTTGGCTGTGGTTTTGTTTTTGGAATCACCAGTACATTTGCAAATATCTTCCCAATAAATAAGATTTTTAGCTATCTTTTCTTTTCATCCCCCAGCTATTTAGCTGATAAATGTCCCAATGGACAAGTTCAAATGAAAAGATGGATCCTCGAGGTCCTATAGCTTAACACAAATTATGCTAAATGAACTAGCCACACACAAAAAAAAATTAAAAGAAAACAAAAACTAGCAATGCTTAATGAAAACCCTTTTTTAGTGGGCAAGGTAAGTAAAGAAGATCCTATTGTCAGACTACTCAACACTCAATTTATTGCTATGGGCCTGCCAGATATGCATGTGAGATCAATCCCATTTTAAATGTGTTTGCCATTGTATCATTGAGTTCAAAGTTGGTTGATTGGTTGGTTTCTTTTGAAGACTTCTGTTACATAAAATTAAATGCTGACATGTTTGTTTAAAGCCATCATCTCTAAATTCTCTAATTCCTAAGTACTCTAAATTACAATTCTAAATTGTTATCATCACAATCAAAAAGCATTTTGAAGGACCTAAAGGAATAAAGTTCTCTTCTTTCTCTTTTCTTTGATGCCTTTTGTTTTCTTCATCACATTTATTTCTGAATGTTTTCCTTCCCCTCTCCTACACAGTAAGCCACTCCAGAGTAAAAGGTAGCTCAGAAAATAAAGTAACAGATCAACCATGTCTGACAGATATATGCAATATCACACATCCGTAGGACCCCAAATTTACAATGAACAGAGGGAAGTGCAATTTCTCAACTCTTCTCTAGGCCCAATAGAATTACAATGCATTTTCTCTTATTTCTTTTTATTTTATACCTTGTTATAATATTTTTGTAGATTTTCCCTTTAATTTAGCTTACTTCACTCTATAAGAATTCTTATGTTTTAATGTGCTTCTTTGAATTCTTACGTCATTTCTTATGACACAATGACATTTCATGGCAGATTCAGGTATCACAATGTTTACCCATTTGCTACCACCAAAAAAAAAAAGTGTTGCTATGGAGTATTTCTCTTTGCATAACATGCTTCCTGAGCTCTAGGAACTTGTGGTGTTTATTTTTGCTTAAAAAGTGCTTCCTTTATGGGAACTAGAAGATGAATCAAATAAGTCTGGGAAACCATAGCATATAAACCTACAAAGTATAGAGTGCATCATTTCCTTCCCTTCATTCCCCCAATTCCGTTTCTACCCCCCTTCTCCAATTCTGGTTTCAGACTACACCAGTGAACTAATTCATTCATTGGAGAAAGAAAACAAAGTCATTCTTAACTACTCTTTAGGGAGTTGTTATAGGTTGACTATGACAAGAATCTAATTCTCAATTAGTGGCATTGAGTTACACTGAGGTTTCTTTCAGAGAATACTGAAAACATAAAAAACAATCAGTCGTTCTGTTTCGCTCTCTCCTCATCAACCCAACTGATACAAATTTGCAAGAAATGTGTGTTTTAGATAAACTAAGTGGAGAAGAATACTTACAAACCAAAAAATATAAATCATTCTGTGACTACATTCTGTGATCATCATTTTCTCTTTTTCTTCCTTGTTCTTTTCATCCTTTCTCTCTTATTTTTCTTTCTCTCTTCCTCCTTTCCTTTCCTTCGTTTCTTCTTTTCTTCTTTCTTTCCTTTCCTTTCCCTTTTCTCTCTTCCCCTTCCTTTCTCTCTCTCTCTCTCTCCTCTCTCTTCTCTTTCTTTTTCTGGCTCTCAGTCTCACCCAAACTGGAAAACAGTGGCCATTCACAGATCTGACTCCACTGCTGACTGGTAAGGGAGATTTGGCCTACTCTGTTTCTAACTTGGATTGATTTGTCTCTCCTTAGGCAGGCTTGTGACACCCCTTCTCCTGGGGCCTGCCATATTGGTGCTGGACTTAATGTGAATATTCTATCTGCTTTAGTCCTAATACGTATTAGAACTCCTGAGCTCAAGCAATCCACTAGGCTTGGCCTTCTCAGGATTACAACCATGCAATAATCCTTTAAGTGCTCACTCAATAACACATCCTTTATAGCCTTCATGTTCCCAGAAGGGATTCACAAAGGTGGAAAGAGAATGAAACACTTTGCAGCCAAGGTTTAGGTGGTGTATTGTTCAGCAAAAGAGAAGAAGTCTGAAAAGTGAATAGTGGGAGAGCAAAAGGAAAAATAGTTGAAATGTCAAAGAATTTAAGGGAAAAAAAATTCAATTAAAACTTAGAACACAAGTAGGTAAATCAACACAAAGGATCCTAAAAGTAGAATTATGAGCATTAAACCATAAAAGATATCATGAAATTGTTTTTAAGAAATATCTTGGAAAAAAAGTAAATGAATAACTGAAGAAACACACTTTATGATTAAATTCACTAAAGAATATGCCTATTTCTCAGCATCATATGACATGTTCACAAAAAACAATCCACTTAATAGAGCACATAGAAATTATAAATATATGTTTAAAAAACAAACGCTAAACACATCATTTGAATACTATAATGAAATTTTAAAAGTGTTCAATACAGGGAGCACAATTAA